AGTTCTGCTGCTTACATGCACAAGTTTCCTGCAACATTCACTGCAAAACAGCTGTAGAAAGGAAATTTCTAGGGTTATTCAAAGGACTTAAGGAGCGCTTAAATACAGAGAGCAGATAACTGAACATTCTCTAAATTTATTGCTATTTTCAGAAAATCTGATTTTACAATCTCTGGTTATTGGTTGTGGAGAGCATTCAAGGCCTGGGGCACTTTGGTCCTAGAGTCCTGACAAAGTGTTTGATGACAGATGGGCACTTCCCACTGCATCTCTTCATGGCACTGTCTGTAGTTATCCTAAGTCTGGCTCTCTTCATCTCAGTCCTCTGCATTCCCTTTCCACCTCTCCTTTTATTCACCAAACACTTCTCCCATTAGAGGGGCAACCTAAGAATAGTGGGAGCCACAACAAACAATCCGCTGTCGTCTCACTTCTTGCTTATGAGCAGCATCTGACCCCAGATGACCTGTCTGATTCCACCTGTACCAGTTTGGTACACAGGAAGAGAGGTGGTTTTGGGTTAATTCCCTTCTGAAGACCAGTAAACACCCATAAGTACCAATAAGGGCATCCTGTAACACTAGCTCCTTGAAGATGATGTCAAGATGAATTGCTACAGAACATGAAGTTTAAGATGCAGCTCCCTTTAAAGTAAATGAATCTAATCTTGAAATGACATAAAAAGTATAACAGTGGCTACATCCTGGTTCTGTTTCAATTGCACACCAAATGTAGGTGATAAAATTATAATTGTGTTAAATCTTAAATTTGGTTACCACAGTTTATGGCACTGGATAAATATTTTCAGCTTTTTCACCTACAGTGAAAGTACTGGCTTTAGGGCCAAATGAAGTGTGGTAAGACCAGCTGACTAATTGCTAGATTTTGTACATTTTGTATTGAAAAGTTAATACATCAGTACCAACTTGAAGTTTTTACAATATTTTCACAAGTGCTATAACTCCTGTTTTGAAAGTGATGTGGTCATTTAAGGTATGCATACACTGTGAAGATACCAGTTAGCTGTCAATGAGGTTAGCAGTGCTTACCTGGTGTAGTATGGTGCCACAGTGCAGAGAAAACAGCTTGGGCCCCTGCATTCAGATAACTGTCAGTGCGGGACTGAGCCTCACCTGTGCAACTCCATTTCTTGGGGCTTTCTATGGTATTATCTACTGAGGTAGACTGTTTGAGATCAGCTTGAGTTGTTATCAGAACAGACACACCTTTATGTTTCTAAACATTAGTAATTTTCACAGAGCAGAACTGTGGATTATATTCTTCAAAGGTGTTTTGGATTAAACAATATATGAAGTGCCTACTGACACTTTCAATGGTATTTAGCGTTGGGCAGTGTCTAGCTCCTGTATGTATTTAATTTGCAATATAAAAAAGAAGTCCATTATTTCTTTTTTAGCTGCTATATTCAGATGCAGCTGCTGCACAGAGGACCATATGCAAACATTACAGTTAAGAGTTATTAGTGTGCCAGAACTACCAAAGGCATGTGGCATACAGCCTGTGTTTTGGCTACATTTGTCTTCCAAGTTACAAAAGCCAAAACCAGACAGTATTTGATACTTAGTGCTTAGAGCAGCACTGGAAATAATTTGCATTAACTCATGCAACTATTCACTGTGTATTCCCCATTTACATTTTAGAAGACTGTAAAAGAATATAACCCTTAACTCTTAAATTAGATTACCCATGTCAGAAGACTTTGTGATTATCTTACTTGAGAGAGTTTTGCATTTGACTCAATCCAGTGATATGAAATACACTCAGCTCTACTTGTTAATGAAACAAACAGTGACTTACTTGGCATCACTCCCAATAAAGGTTATTAGTGAATGTTTTGAAATGTATAACTGAAGTTTATTTTGTAGCATACTTCTTAAATATAGCATAACTCTAACTTTGTACTGTTTGAAGAAGACATTTATTGATAATTAAAATGATGCAAACAATTCTTTTAAGAAAGATAAAAGGTTACTCTCATTATGTGTTCTTGGTACTGAAGATGGAACATTTTTCTTTAAATGCTGCCTCTTTTTTCACTACACAAAATTGTTCACTGTGCATCAGCAGGTTTGCTTACCAAAGCCTATGCCAAAAACAGTTCAGCAGAAGCAAAAAAAGGTGGAAAGTGAAGAATATGTCTGTCGGAACAAAGCCTGTACTGGGGTAACAGGCAAACAACTCCAAGATGAAGAAAAGCCAACTAAATTAAACAGGATGCTTCACCAAACAGAGCCTCAGCAGGTGAGGATTTGAGCACTGCAGTAATGCATGGTATTGCCTGGGAGTTTGTCTGCTCTGTTAGCTCAACGTCCACCTTTTGGGGTGAGCAAGAAGAGTGCTTGAAAAGAGTCAGGAGCTATGTCTCAGACTCCAGAAGTTGGCATATGCTTACTGGCTTGTATTATTCCAGACAAAATACTCAGAGTTTCTTGTAAGCCCAGGGACTAAGTGCAAAGAGGGCACTATCCTTACCTGTCTCAAACCTGACAGGTCCAAGTACTGGAACGGTGCCTGGGATAATTTTGAACGTTACTGAATTCTTTTCAGCATACAGAATTACTGTCTGTACGTCAACAGGTTCACTCACTGAAGCCTTCACCGAAACGAGTGCAACAGAAGCAAAACAAGGTGAAAGAGGAAGCATATAACTGCTTCAGCAGCCCGCATGCTCGGGTAACACGCCGGCAATTGCAGGCTGAAGAGAAGCCAATTAAATTTTACACTACGCTTGAGGAGCCTGATCACTCACAAAAGGTGAGGTTTTTGGTGTTACCTTAGAAGAGTCATGGCACCTTGTGAAAGAAAGATCAGCTTTTCTGAAAATAAGTTTAAAACAAAACAAAACCAAACCACACCACCACAGACAAACCCTAAACTAAATGTGTGCAAACTAGATGTTTGCCACAAACAGTAAAAGTTTGTGTATAGTTGCTTGGTCGTACTATTAGCCAACTAACACTCCCATTTTTTTTCCTAGAGTTTGGTAGACTTTGAGTACTGCACCAGTGTGCAGATAAACATGTTGGGAAATGACAGTCTTCCTTTGTGAACCCTGTTGTTTTCTTGGTAGAAACTTACTTCAGTAGTTTCCTTTTCTATGTAATGGAAAACTTCATAGCACTCTTTAATAAAGTGCTTAAATTCTGACTTTTTAATCTGAGGATTTTAGTAGTTAACTCACTTTAAATATTATTGGTAATTTAGTGTATAAAAGGGTTGAATGACTGTGTTCAGTCTTACTCTTCAACTGTAGATGAAAAAAATTAATCAAGATTTTAGTAAAAATAATGCAGAATAAAGTACATCTTAAAATAGGAGCGCAGTGTGATTACTATGGAGTTTATTTTGACAAAGAGATTCTACCCTGTACCTAGTGTACAAGGAAGTGGTTAACTACAGGCACCTTACTTTAACTTAGACACTTAGATGGGATGGCCACCCTCTTGCTGTTAACTGATGATGCAGTTAAAGGTCTGAATACAGAACTGGGAGGAAGAGTTCTCTTTCTCCCTGGTTTATCTTTTGGGCAAGTACATTCAGAAAGACATCACATAGCTGGGACAATGAAAGGAATGAGTGGGTCTGCTTAGTAAGATGCTAGTGGAAAGCAGTTACAGTGTAAGTATAAATTAAACCGAGAAACATTTCTATGCTGAAAGGGGAACACCTGACTTAGAGGAGCAGGACAAGAAGGGCAGGATGCTTGTGAGACATGGGACAGCTGACAACTTGGGAAAGAGAGAATGAGGAAGACAGAAGTAATATCTAGAAAATAATATGGAAGCAACAAAAAGCAGAGAAGAAAAAACCTATGAGCTGCCTTTATGTCGAACATAATAGTATCCTATCAGATGGGACCCCTATTTCTTTAAAAGAAACAGATGTGGCTGTCACTAATTTGACAAAGGAATAAAACAGGAAGACAAGGCATTTCTATTAGAGAAATACACCTTCAATTATGAATTTTCACCAAGAAATCTATATTGCTAGGGTTGAAATTAAGTGGGATGCGTTGCTAAAAATTAACATATTGTGAATGGGATCATGGAAAGGAAACCAAAGCTGAAAATTTTTCTAAGGGACAGTGGAAAATATGGTCAGGTCTCACATATGTGAGAAACAGTGTTCAGGGATTCCTTTCAGAGATAGAGATCAAAAAGGTAAGCTAAGGATGACATTGCTTCTGGACACCTAAAAAAACTCCAGACACCACCCTGTATCCAACTGGAACAAAACCCACACAACTAGCATATTTGTGCTATGTGATAAATCAGAACTTTAGCTTCACTATGAAATGTAAAAACTTATACAAATAAAACAGCACATCAAACTTCAGAGTAATGTCTAGGGTTTCGAGATGAAAACTTTATTATCAGGAACACTTTAAAGACAACATATTAACATTTTTTGGAAATGAGTTAAAGATACAGAAGAATTTCAGCTGTTGACTTTAGTAATAGATATATAAAGGATGTCTCTTTAGAAGGTGTTTAATCACACCAAATGTTATATGCTTAATATACTTACACCGACAAAATCAAGAGTTAAGACTTTGTAAGAATTGTATTGCTTTTTCTAGGATAACTTCCATACCTAGATGGCACCTTTGTTTTTCTGATTCACATTTCACTTGTTGAATATTAAGTTTATTGCTACTTTCTTTTCCCCCCCTGCAGAAAGACACTGCAAGAGTATTACCACCATTGGACCCCCAAGCAATATTCTCAGAATCCAAACAGAAACACAGTCAACTCTTAACTACAGATCACCTGGTATCATTGCAAGAAACTGGTTCTGACATCACTTGTCCTTCTGTATCTATTATACTTAGGCTTGCATTTACTGACAAGACATATCACTACAGTATAGCTATTCTTGTACTTCTGCTACTAATATTACTTTCCTTGTGTTTTCTTTGATGTAAACATTTCGGTGTCTTCAGTGTAAGTGCTGTCGTGTTCCCATCATGCAGTTTTTTCTCAGAGTTTCTTCATTGAAGATTTCAGTGTCAGTGGCTTGGAAAAGATTTTTTTAAATAATACTGTCAATGCGTATCTTCTTTTAAAGGCAAGTTTTCTAAACTTTCCAAATCTGCGCTCAATAGTTATGTATGCACTAAAATAATTGTACAAGGCTGTTTTGTGTTACGAATGTTGGGAATTTTTTTTTTTTTTGAAGCTGGACCTATTAAAAAAGTATCATGAAATACAATGGGGTGTGATACTTCATTATTCTAACACCAGTATGTTGATAACTGGTGCACAGCTGTGTTTATATTTTTTCAGAAAACCTTTAGTTAAATACTGATGGATTAAATGCATGGGAATGTGAAGTTTTCCTCTCTTTATTCCAATGTGTAAAGGGAAGATAGTAGCCACAAATTCTGTTTTAAAAGTTTGTTACAGTTTTTGCCTGTATCTAAGCTAGTACACGCTATTTAGTTCAATCACTCATTTTCATTAGATTTTCTTACCTTATTACAATATGGACATTCACCAAAGATGACATTAAAACTCTGTCTGCTAGAAGGAAGACCTTGTAGCCACTGCAACACAAGTGAGTGAATTAACAGATTATTCTTACATGTGATATGAAACAAATGTGAGTTTTACCAGGGGTTTTTCTAAACAGAGTTAATTTGACCAACATCTGACAGGGTACGTGTCAAGTCTGTATAAATGCAGTGAGGCAGGTTCGCTCCCACAAGGAGCTCGTTCATGAATTGTGGGTTAGAAGACAAGAGGAAGCACAGTGACTGTTCTAGCACTCCTTACATGACTTTGCATCATCTGAAATTTCAGTGGGCAGTGCATATTTTCTAGAATCTGAGAGTTAACAGGCAAGTTTGTCCCATTAATTACTTTACCTCATACAGGCAAGCCTGATGAAAAGGTTGTCCACATCGGGGATCATCGCACACTTGATCTGGAGTAGTGCCATCAAGTCGATAGGCATAGCAGATTCCACAGTCCTTAGCAAAATCCTTAAAACACAACACGTTTTAGCTTGCAGTGTAACTCAAAGGAGGAAATAGGGCTGGTAACAGAGAAAACATGTTCATCTATTTGTCTTTTTGCTTTTGCATTTTTTGTTACTTAGGATTACTAAATAGTTTTGCCTTTAATATATATGTTTACATCATCATGGTATACAGAGTGAGATTAGCTGCCAGATGTACCAGACTTTGCTAGGTTATATTGTATTGTCCCCCTGAATTCTATAGAGTTTGACAAGCATTTTCATACTCTTGGGCCCCACTGTTTCTTTTTTATTAAACACAATGGTTTGTCATTACATTTGGACTTAGATGCAAGACCTCATAGTCAGATAGTTAATTTAAAATTTCACTAGTGAAAGCAAAGCTAGTAATCCAATGTTGCAGCACTGTCAAAAATTAATTCCAAGTTTGTTTGAAATGCACCCGTATTTCGATGGCCTGTTGTCCCCTCTAAGCAGCTCTACCTGATTAGTACTTAACTCATCAACATCCGTATGAGAATGTTTGGATTTTCCATGTCTCATTAGCTACTCTGGCACTTCCTCTTTCCC